TAGTTTGGTGAAGAGAAAACTTTGATTTATTGTAACCTCTAATAAATATATACAGTCAGTCTGTCACGGATGTTACGTCACGGACGTTACATATTTCAATATTTGGAACACAACACATTTAATTGTTTTGAAACTTATACAAAATAAGCCTATAACGAAAAGTAGGCAAACATACATGCAAGTCTGTAAAATACACAAAGTAAGTCCATACGGCAATCAAACATTAAAACACTGATATGTCAAATAACAGTAGCCAAACGGTGGCTGAATTTCGAAATGTTCACTTTATACTGTACAGTCATAAAGTCTACATTGTACTGTCGTTACTTTGAGAACTTTCTGCACTTTCTAATGAGTTTGAAAAGTTTTTCTACGTGTGACAGTTCTGGAATTGTGAAAGGTCCACTAATAAAACTAGGTACTGTAACTGGACCATAAAATATACTTGAAGTGTGTGCTTGGTCCACATCCTCTCTTCTAGGCCAATGGAAGGTCGTTGCCCCAACTTTTTGCTCCATTTACAGGCTTTTTAAAGGGATTCATTTCAGACAAAGTTGGCAATCATGCATGTGCTTTAGCAATGGAATTTGAATTTTGGTCAGCAGTATTCCCAAAACTGCAGGCTCAGGTGCATGCTCACAGGTTAAGGCTGCTGACCATATTATCCACTAGTCACTTGTAAAAGATACACATGTACATGTAATACCTATATTTAACACAAGATAATCATTTCCTGTATTTAGCAAAGAATAAAGCCTCCTTATTCGGTGGATTGGGACAACAACTCACACAGTGTAACGTCCGTGACATTGAATGTAACGTCCGTGACAACACTTAAAAAGGATTCTACAAAAGGACCTAAGAGAAATGAAATTGCCCACTACATTTTTAGTTAACATGTTCCCAAAGCTAAATATTTATGGAGAACTTCTTATCAAGAACATTCAAAATTCACAGGAATCTTGATTTAATGGAAATGTATTTACAGGAGTAGTTGTTTTTATGTAACGTCCGTGACATACCTTTTTCTGTTTATTTTCTCTTTATCGAAGAGGTCAAATTGGGAAACAAAATTACCTATTCAACCAACCAATGTTTGTAAACACATATATTGAAGATAAGTTGAAAAAAATCATTTTCATATATTATTAGTAAAAGTTTGAATGTATAAAACTGAGTCTGAATGTAACGTCCGTGATGGTGGAATTGCCCATGTGTAAAAAGGCATGCACTGGTATAGTAGCTCTAAGAGCAGTCCGGGACACAACCAGATTGGGGTATATGATGACGTCAAACAAATTTTCAAAATGGCGCCCACGCCAAGGAAAACGAAGAACGTCACTTCCAGGCTCTTTGCTACGCCTAGAAGTGCCTTTTTCCCATAGTACTTTGAGACCTGTGACTTAAGACAATGAGGAATCAGCGATGTGAAGAAAAATGGCGTCCGATGAACATTTGTGCGTTCTTTGGAGTTAAAACGACCGAAAACGAGAGTGTTTCTGCTCAACAATCTGCCTGACAAGGTGCAAAAAAATCTAAACAAAGAAGATGTCAGCTTTTGATACTTGGAATTTTTTTTTTCGAAATATATTTGTTGATGGTGGTGTGTTTGGTGTAGTGCAAAGCTTTTTCACACAGTGCTGTGCTTTTATTAAAGATGCAGCAGTGAGTTGCGCCATAAATGTGCGGGTATTGGTAAAGCCACGAGAGTTTACATGAGAAAAAACATTGTCAATGGATATAGCATTAGGTAAATCTGTAGATATATGTCGTCGACCCAATGAACATTAACTTGAGGCAATCACACAGTTTTCTAGATCAGAATTGATATTATTAGCAAGAACATCTGCGTCAATAGTAGAGGCAAATGTTTGCGTATCGTCGGCAAGTAAACAGGGTGTAGTAAATTCTAAGCAATTTGGAAAGTCATCTACATAAATGAGAAATAGCAGAGGGCCAGAATAGACCCTTGAGGAACTTCACAGAGTAATTTCCTATGGGAAGATGTCCGTTTACGAAACATTGTTGTCGGGTGGTAAGATAGGACTTAAACCACATCAGTTCCCTATCACAGGCTCCATAAAACTCAACTTTCTCTCGTAAAATCGAATAATGAAGGGTCTTTCAAATATCAAGAAAAACTACCCCGATCAATTTTCCATTGTTCATATTTTCAAACCAGTTATCGCACATTTGAATTAAAGTCCAGACAGTCGGGTGAATAGGGTGAAATCCTAAAACTCAGACATAGTTGAATTGTCCGTTAGATAGTGATATAGTTGGTTAAAAACCTCTTTCTCGAAAACTGTACTAAATATTGGCAAGATTAAAATGGGTCTACAAATTGCTAAATCACGACAATCGTTATCTTTGTAAACCGGGCACTTACTTACTTACTTAGTTACTTAGTTACTTACTTACTTACTAAGCTGGAAATCATCCCGAGCCATCCCAATAAACCAAGCACATATGCGCATTTTTACATTCATAAACAAAAATCCCAGAGGAAAGAGGCAAATTAAATATGAATGTTAAAGATGGTGCAGTTACACTTAAAGCAATTTTTTAAGACCTCAGCAGGGATCTTATCAAGACTGGTACTCTTTGACACTTTTAAGTTTTTTAGCATAACCGCAACGTTTTCACCGCGGAATTTTAGTGAATCAAAACACTGGAGTATGATCAAGGCTGTTGTTAAGGTATTTAGTAACTTTGTTGGAAGACGTTTTCGTTAATTTCGTTGTGGTAGGTAGAATGCCAAGGAGCTTTGTGGGACTGCTGGATTTTAATTTACGATAGGAAGATCTAGGGACTCCTCGAGCTCAAAATTGCCTGAAGTCTTGGTAAGAAAAGGAGAATTGATAGACAGAATTGTTAACAAAATAAAATTTGGCCAGCGTTAAGGCAAAAGATGTGCATGAATTTGAACCATTTCTATCCAGGGTGTTGATTGTGAAACAGTGGATGGAAAGCACCAGATAATGGAAGAACCAAATACCGTTTTCGTAATATTTGTCATCTAAATAGGGCTAGTGAATGATTTTTTTAGTTGTTGTTTTTGAGCCTGTGTTTGCTGGTAGTCCTGTGTTTGTAGTTGTGTCTGTGACTGATGAGGGTGGGGTACGGAAAAGGATTCAAGGGTGTCTGTGATGTTCTTTTCCAATGCTTCTGATTGGTAGCTTTCATTGATGTTACTGTAACGGTTGCTCAATCGAGGGTCTTCATCTTCATCCGTCCCTTGGTTTAAATCATTGTTAGGTGGTGCTGAAGTTGATGGCTTGGTGGGTTCAAGTAGCCTTTGATTGAAAGATTGAGACAAATTCTTCATTTCTTGTAGTAGTGGTTGAGTACAAATTGTACATTGTCTGTTGGTCGTGTCGTAGCTTGAAAGGTGGATAGTGCGGTAGCAAGAAAGAAGGATTGTAGCTCTTTGAAATCATAGGTTTTTGAAGGGTCGGGTAGAATGTCGGTGATGTTATCATTCTGTGTTTCAAATGAATATACCAGAGCAATTGCTTTACTTGTAACTTTCGTATCAAATGTTTTTAGGCGGTACTTTGGTTCTCTGACGGGTGCATCCTTGCATTTAGCTTAGGAGGAACCTTGAAACAGAGACTAATGAATGATAAATAAATAATAATATAAGCTTTTATATGATCCCATATTCATGGGCTCATGGTGCTTTACAAAGGAACAATTAATATGAATAGAAATAATGTTAAGAAAGTTTACGCATAAGTATGTAAAAATACTAAACTAAAATCTGTATAAACTAACAACACCTATTTATATCGTACACATTATTTCAATACTTTGTTCGAAAAACGGCAAAGTGAGTAAGTCTTTATAACATCATGATGGCGAGCAGGTTCTAGCAATGATTTCCATAGTTTAGATGCAGAAAATGAGAACGACTGACGGCTATAAGCCTTCAGCTTAGCTGATGGTACTATCAGGAGTCTCTTAGAAGCAGATCTGAGACTTCTTGATGGCCTGGCACTACCTCATATAAAGCTTTGGCGGTTAAAAAAGTATCTTGTGTGCTGTGTACATGTTTTAGATTCTGCATTGTGATTTTTCGTTATTTTGACATTGTACAGACAGTACAAACATGTAAAATTGATTTGTGCGTTATAAATCAAGTAATATTAATGCAACACTCAGGGATCATTATCAAATTTATTACCTTGACCAAAACAAACCACGAACCAATCGCTGTTCAAATTTTCGTTCACGTGACCTAATTTGGGGGAAAGCATTCTTGGATTCAATATGGCGGTCGTTGTCGAGATGTTTTTAGAAATAGAAAGGAGTACTGCCGAGACAGCAACTCAAGAACATGGCAATTTATTATAACAGACATCTCTCAGTAGATTGTAAAACTGGTGAAATTGTATTTGAGACGCATTTTTCCAAATAAGACCTGTGCGGAAAGCTTCGTGTATTTCAAACAAATCATCAAACTCATACGTAATTTGTTTCTACTGAAATGTTCAAATTAAAGAGACAGTGATGGAAGACAATGGTTATTCTGTTAACCCATTCGTCCCTGAACCGCCCGTAACCGCCCGTGCGGATCCAGGTCCTTTCTACCCTTTGTGACGTCATCAGTTTTAACGGTCAAGGACAGCTTTCTTCGCTAACTTGTGCAGAGTGAAGAGATCTTTCAAACCATACCAGAATGAGCACAATTCAGTCAAGGACACCGGAGAAAGAAGCAAAAAACCACAAGACAAGGACCTGAAAATCTCCATGAAAATCTTTTCCCATTACCCACCTACCTTTCCTTTCACCTAATCCTAAGATCCTAAAAGCTTTCCTAAAAACTCTTCCCACCAAAATGAAGCCTACTAAATGCCCAGCAAGAGAAAAAAAAAATGAGGCAAGAAAAGCGAAAAAAGAAGGGAGGAGAGAAAGCGAAAAGTAAAAGTCAAGACTGCTGTGTCACTTTTAAACCCAAAAACTATCTCGAAATTTTGCTTTCTGCGCATGCCCGAACTTCGCAAGCTGATATTTTGCATCTGGATCAGAAGGCCGCCAAGTGTACAACCTGTAAACCGGTTTGTGGTAAGTTTTAGCTCTTTATAGCACGACAGTGACCAGAACACCACTCGACTAGCTCCAAAACGCGTTTTTGGGCAAAATCTCCAGGAGCGAATGGGTTAAGGATAGAGGTTTTATTTTTAACATCGTCTACAGAAGTTTGTTTTTTCGAAGTTCATTCTGCTCTTTTCCTCTTGTCACGGGGAGATGAAGTCGATGATGGTTGTTGTCCATAGATCTGTCAATGAAACAAAAACAAAACATGCAGACAATGAGTGTGCCTGCCATTGATATGCATATACAAATAACTGTTTAAATTTTTTACTGTACAGGTAGCGAAAGCCGTTGTAGCGGAAAACTGAAAATTGGCATATGCAAATTAATGCATGTTTCACGTGTAAGTATATTTTGCGTTACTGAAGTGCGGAGTCGAATAGCAGGAAGAGTCATATCTGTTGCAATTTAATTCGTACTCGGCGAAAACTTTTCGTAATGTCTACTATAATAGTTTAGTTTTATGCTAGAACTTTGGTTGTTGCTTGACGAAGGGAATTTGACTTACAATAATTTTGGAAAATGATTAGTGTTAAAGTGCACCTAACCCCAAATTTTCTTATTGGCTTAAATGAATGTGCTTACTTTCTGGAGTATATCTGTGAAAAAATGTTTGGATTTGGTTAAATCCTCGATTTTCTGTGACCTGTTGAATTAGAGGATAATTTGGTCCAGTACCGAGCAGCATTGGATCTGGAATGAGTGCCGGGGCTGTCACGTGATATGACATAGATTTGGGAACCAAAATTCCAGCAAGCAAAGCATCGGCAAGCAATTTATCTCACCTTTGCCTGGTCTGGAAGACACAGAAGCAACGTTCGAGCCAAATTTCGGTCACCAGAAGCTATAATTTAACCATATCTTGCAATGAAATACTACAATCTGCATATAAACAATTTCATAGTACCGAAACAGGTTTAGTCAAAGTTTTTAATGATATTATCCTAGACGTTGATAGGAATAGGACTGTTATCTTACTTTTATTAGATCTATCGGCCGCTTTCGATACGGTTGATCACACTATACTGATTGAGAGATTAGCAAACTGCTTCGGTCTTTGCGATCTAGCTCTGGCCTGGTTTAAATCATACCTGAGCGACAGAACTCATTTTGTGAGCATTCGTGGTGCGTGCTCTGTCACGCGTTCGCTATTCACTGACAGGGCCTTTTTGGTCGCTGCCCCAAAGCACTGGAATGATATTCCCTTAGACGTTAAATTAAGTGGATCAGTTGATGTTTTTAAATCTAGATTGAAAACTTATCTTTTTAGACTCGCTTTCAATTGACTTTTTGTTTTAGTGCTATTGTTAGTTAGTTATTTTCTTTTTGATTGTAAAGCGATATAGAGCTTTTGTATATACCGCTATACAAATAAAGTTTATTATTATTATTAATGTCGTCCTCTGAAGTTTCAGCGGTAAGCTGCACCAATTCAGAGTATCAGGTGGAAGTAGAAAGTGATTTCGATCGTGAAGCATCGCCACCGCCACCGCCAAGCGATGACGAAGCGACTGCATTTGCAGATGACCCACTAGCGGATGCGGAGTGGACAGCTCAATACGAACAGGAAATAGAGATGAAAAGGAGCTGGAGCAAGAGTTAACTAAGAGATCACAGGGCGCTACACAAGTCAGTCAATGGTGAGCATTTGCTTCTATGAATCTTATTTCTGTAAGCGTACATGTTTGTGCAGTTTCAAACGCAGCCTTGACTCATCAATTTGCCCTGTTTATGTTCTGTAGGTGCAAGTGTGGAAGCTGCAGTGTCCTTTTGTTACGAAACATGAGTGAATGTTATTGCTGTAGCGAACTCGAGGGCTGCCTGGAATTGATGAAGACCGACCTTGTCCTTCTAGATATCAGGGCCGACGTTACCTTGAAGTGCATTACGCAGCACCCACGATTCAATCTCGTTTGTCTCCAGAATTGGAGTCTGAGGTTGGCCGCAGGGAAATTCAAGACGAAACTCAAACAACAGTACAGACAGAAAGGAACTGAGGAAAGGTTAGTTAATGATACAATTCATGGCTAAATCATTATTGTAATTTTCGGCGTAGATTCACCAAGAACGTCTTGACTTGTGATCAGTGAAACAAAAATCATAATAATAATAACCTTGTCTGGTTACCTCGAGTTTCGGTGATTGGTTAGGGAAGTTAGCGTTGATTGCATTTTTGGTTGTCTAAATATACTGCATTTATATAGTATTACCTCCTTCCTCTATTGACTCCCCACCCAAAACAAACGAACATTCTCAAAGTTATGTGCCTTTGTCCAAATATTTTTCAGTTAAATCTCCTTGTGCGACTACCTCAGCTACCATGAGCAAAATCTGATCACAATACATTGCTTTCTGCTGTCTGTTTCAGCTTCCTACGAAGTGTTTCATATCGTGAGTTTTCAAGACTTTTGTATGGGATCTTGGGAAACAGAAGGGTTCCCTTGCCAGCATGTGCATACACTGCCATAAGGCAACAATTTCCAGTCAGTAAAGATGAACGTTTTACAGGATTCGACCTTGATAAGGAAGAAAACCTGGACCTTGACGAGGAAGAAACCTTGGCCATGTAGATGGTGACAATTTGCTAAAGCAGATAGACTCTCACTTTTTTAATGTAATTTATGTTTTCTAACTCAAACCATACAGCCATACGCGAATCAGGTGTATTGTTTGATTTGTAGTTAAAAGTATATTCAATTTGTCTCTAGTGCATTTTCCTAGTGTCCTGGGGTGGTATCTTCTATTCAACAGTGCATAGCAACTGTGTTTCAACCACTGGCATTAAATTCAATTCATGCAATATGCATGGCTGCCTGAGAGGACCATGTAACTTTCACATGCCAGTAAGAGTGAGTCTAGGTAAAGTTTATTTCATCCTGGCTGATTTTTAAAACTGAATGGGCTGCATGTATAAATTTTTTTATCATTCAATCTAAGACTTGTATCCAGCTGGGTGGGGGGATGAGAAGAAGCCGCCCTTACGGAAAGCGCCCCTTACCTTGCCAGTTGTATGATGTTTCCTTTCGATGTTAATTTATAGAGAGTAGTACTTTTTTAGTGAAAATGAGTGAAAATACCTTCATTGTGGTGTTTAAATCAATTACAACACTTTTAAGTTGTGTCAGCACTAGACGTTTTTCAATTGGAAGGGTTGTTACAAAAACGTCTTGGTTATATAAAAATAAATAAACAATAATTTAAATAAAGTTGTTCAATCAAGGTTAATTACTAAGGGTCCTGCAGAAAGGTAATTGAACCAGCCATGGAAGCTCGTTTATGTTTCGCAGGAGTCTCATTTTTGGGATGTGGAGCACTAATAAACATAAATGCTGGAATGTATTCCCCCTATCCATCACAGAGTAACACCAGTGTCCCAATTATCAGCCTTGATTTTGCTTTATTCACCTTTTCAATCACAAGATTGACCAATACCAAAATTCTCACTGAGATACCAAATTTATGAACAGGAATACAATGTTATCAATTATCTCTAAAGAAAATTGTTCAGATCTTTTAGAATTAGAACGTTTCCAAACTATGTATTACAAGACCAGTCAGGATAAATAAAATGAAGATATTTATTTGACTTAACAAGGTTGATATTTGTAATATCCCCTTGGGGCTTACTAGTTTTGGTTTAATAGAATTGGGGGATATTCTGGAAGCGGTATTTCACAGTCATAGGGAAGTACATAGAGTAACTACCCCTGCACTTTCAGAGCAGTTTTCAAATTCTCAAAAGGGTTTTGTCCCTTGTTTTGGTTTGGCTTTATCACACTGGTATGATGGAAAAATTTTGTCTCATTGCCACATCCAGTAAATTCTTGATACTTACCCGAAAGATTTACTTCAAGTGGTTCACTACATTTTTTACATCAATAATTATTTAGACTGGCCACACTGTTTCCTTTAAGTTGGTTTTACAATTGCTGCTTTGCAATTGACATCATGCCGGCCATGTTGGTGTGGTGTGTTAGGGTTAAGAACAAAAGCATTTTCTCATCTGGGAGTTAGACCCTATTTTCATGTATATTATTCGCGAAAAAATGTGTTATATTTACCACCAACACACCACCAACATGGCTACCTTGTCACGTGATTACAAGCAAGAATACTCAAACAAAAACCGCTCTAGTGTTTAACTATTTTTGTCTCCTATTGCGTGGAAAATCCACAACATTTTTGTGGCCCTTCAGAGGCTGCTTGCACTCCCGGCATTTTCTGGTGGTTTTCTCTCTCCTCTGAGACTGCTGTCCAGTGGTTTCTGGCACCTGAGAGACTGGTGGGGCAAAAAAAAAAAATTGTGACTTTACATTATAAATTCCTGTAGTAGCACTTACATTGGTAAAGGGATGACTAAAAAAAATTGTTCAGATAAGGAGATTTTGCCATAGATTATCTATCAAAACAGTTATTATAAATTGGTGGAGTGTACAGCAGTGATGCTCCTTTGTTGCCTCTTCAGCAAAGCCTCTGCTCTAGGCTGCTTCTCGAGCATGGTGTTCATTGCAGCAGGGGTCTTCTCATAGAGCTCGGTATTTGCATCCTTCAATTCATCCTCGCATTCACATACGTCTGAAATATCTCCTCAACATACCCTAAAATAAAAACAGAAACTAGGTAAAAATAATACTTTTTCAGATTTTTCAAAACAAAAATTTCAAGTTCGCATCTGGAGATCCAAATGCTTACCAAAGTTTGGTTCAACTCTCACATCTCTGACAGTAGCTTCACCATTCTTAAACTTTGGGTAAGATACTTTCACCCTCTAAACCCCATCTTTCTCTCGACTTTTCACCTCTCTATGCAGATTAAAGTTGAAGTGAACTGCAGCCAAGATGTGCCTAGGATGTAAATGCCTATTTGAGTCGTAGGTTACATTGCAATATACATCAATTTTACAACATCAAGATGGGAACAGACAACCACAACCACGATGAAATGAATGATAGGTTACACCTTAAAATTCTGGTGGGGCTTGTGGATGCAATTCTGGGAACCCTTAACCTTTTTCTGACCAAAAGTAATGTGAATTTGCAAACCTTTGTTTTGATTGTAAAAAAGAGCTTTTGGTGATAGGCATACCAAATTCCAGACTATAAAATTGTGCAAGAGCTATCACCATCATACAAGAACAAAAAGACCATAAACCATTTGTACATGCCAACATAGGAGTAAACAATCATCTTTGGCGCAAAGTGGTTGAGGACCGAGTGAAAACATTCCAAACAGCTTGTTTGGGCATGAGGAGAGGCTTGTTTAATTCCCCTTACCAGGGCCTTATTGCTTAGTGCCTCACATAATGTTTCGTACACCAGTGTCCCTATTAATCAAGAAATGGAGAGATCAGAATCGGTACCTACTAACATGGAACTGACATGGTGTCAAATTACAAGGCTAGCATGCCACTAGAGTACTGTAGTACATTTTTGTGACGATTCTTTTACTACCTTGTGCTATTTACACCATAGGATTTTCCATAATTATTACGTAAGGCAGGGTTGGCTCTGCGGAGTATTGGGAATATTGGTTATTTTCAAAAGTTTCATCTTCAAAGTAAACACTTGGGCAAACCCCCCTCTCCAACATATCATATGAAAAACAGCAAAGCGACAACCTTACTTTTACAAGACTTCACCTATGAACATACCACTTCTTAGCCATTTTTGTGGTTCAATATTTCCATGGGCGCATTTATTGAACAGGGGATCACTGAAGCCAGAATGGTTATTGATGACATGATTAAGGAATCCCTTGAACTTTGCCAAAATAACTCTCCCACTGCCATTGAAGGTAGAGGTGGCACTCCAATGGAGGTGCCTTTCACATGGCTTTATCCACTCAGATAAGGCTTCACAGTCTTTCAGTTTTGCAATCTTCGATAGTACTTTGCAGATTTCTGTGGAAAGACAAAGAGAAAAACAAAACTTTCATAAGGGTTTGGATTGATCAGGTAATGTATCAGTCAGTATCCAGGCATCTCGCACTGGTTTAGGCTAATGCCCGACCCCCAGGATTGACAGTGTGTGCAAATGCCCTACAGTTGCCCCAGGAGGGAGTGGGGCGATGGTTGCAGCTGGAATTGATTGATGCATAATGTTTGGAACAGACAAGAAGTTTACAAAAATATAATACAATCTACAATGATAGTGAAGACTGGTATATCCTTACTCCTCTTTAGATGCCAGATGTCGAAGTAGTGAACAATATTCGTAAGTCTGAAATGAATGTGGTGATCAGAAGGCCATAAGCCAGCAAGAAGTCCATGCAATGTTGAAATGCCATAAATTCCATCCCTTTACTATTTCCAGCTTCATTCCTCTATAAAAAAAATGATGGATATAAATAAAACGGAAAGACCAGTTTGATGTCTCCAATGAAAATTAAATTATTGGTAAGGTCAATTAGCAGGTTAAAAAAGTGCATCTGAGAATAAAAGAGTAGGGTACATAAATTATGAACTCTATATAAAGTATAAAGTATTTCTAAGTGACATTGCAGGGAGCTACACTGTAGATGCATCACCCAGAAGTAATAATGATAAAAAATGTATCTAACCTGAACCAGAGAAAAATGAATAATCATGGGAACAGTGCAGCAGAAGATTGTATAGGCACCAAATTTTGCACTGTGTCCAGTGCTATCATGGCGACCATCTCCTGCAATAATAATGCCATCTTGAATGGCCTTTAGCTTTGCAAGCATCTGAGCTTGGTATCTTTGCCAGTACAGGTAGATTGAAGGGAAGAGTTTTGTTTAAAATGATAAAAAAAGTAAACTTCGTTATTTATACTGTAATAGCATAAAATGCCAATAATAAGCCCCCTCAATTCTCAAACATAAATATCCTCGTACTAATAGGAGTCCACGGATTGTTTATGGTAAGCTGTTTTAGGCTGTTTTCTTAGTGTTTTAAACAGTTTTATTGTAATGTCTAACCCCTCCTGGAATGCAAACTTTCTTCCAAATATGCCCAGCAAAAAAAGCCCTTAAGTTTAAATAAATATAAATTCAGGGCTAATTATTTCGGTTATCGCAATTTCAACTCCAAGAAGGAAATGCACTTGTCAGACCTGCACAATCAGTTTTACGTCTAAACTTCCTTTCTGTAGTTTTACTGACTGCAATACAAGCAATCATTTTACAATAATAAAATTAAATGAAAATTTTAAATAAGGCTCAGAATCAATAAAATTGGGATATTATCATAGAAATATCCTCGTACTAATAGGAGTCCACGGATTGTTTATGGTAAGCTGTTTTAGGCTGTTTTCTTAGTGTTTTAAACAGTTTTATTGTAATGTCTAACCCCTCCTGGAATGCAAACTTTCTTCCAAATATGCCCAGCAAAAAAAGCCCTTAAGTTTAAATAAATATAAATTCAGGGCTAATTATTTCGGTTATCGCAATTTCAACTCCAAGAAGGAAATGCACTTGTCAGACCTGCACAATCAGTTTTACGTCTAAACTTCCTTTCTGTAGTTTTACTGACTGCAATACAATCAATCATTTTACAATAATAAAATTAAATGAAAATTTTAAATAAGGCTCAGAATCAATAAAATTGGGATATTATCATAGAATACAAATGAGACAAGACTTGCTCTTTGATATTTGAAGAATGTGTTGATAGACACACAACCAAGTCCCATGTCGCGAAACACTTAAAACAGTTTGGTGGCTGATCCTCCTGAAAGCAGAGTGCTCATACAAAGGAGAAAGTTCGCGGCTGGTATCTTTGAGTTGGGCAGTAAGGGCTGGCTGTACCATGTCTGTTCTTTCTGACATTTTTGGTTAATGCAGGTTGTTTGAATAATGACCTCTGTACCATTTTCTCTGGCTTCAACCAGTGGATTATCAGCTTTGCAGATTGTACAAAATCTAAAAAGCAGCAGTAATTTTGTCAAGAAGACAATGTGCTTTGGTTCAGATCTTAGGTTTGAACCCTTCAGTGGCAACCTGCAAAAAAATAATCATGTAATAAAAGCCTGTACTACCCCATAGCGTTGCAACTTACAAAACCCTTGAAAATATTACCCTTTCATTTTATAGTCAACAATGACTACACACTCACCAGGCTGAAGATTGTTTAAAATGAATTTGTAATATTCCGAGTGGTGCTTTGTGCGTAACAAATGGCTTACATACTGCTTATGAACTGATAGAAGACTGTCAAGCTCCTCTGTTAGTTTCCTTTGTTCGCCTGTATTTAAATTGGACAGCAAGTCTTTCACAGAGCTGGCCACTTCATAAATTCCAACGCCATCTGAGGAACTGTCATGAGTTTCCATGCAGGAGCCAAATGCATGGTCCATGCAGAGTTCTAGGCAAGGTGAGTGTCTCTCCATTTGGTTTGAAAACTTTGTCTTCATAAACGACTGGTACTTCAAGACTTTTGCTTTCAGTTCATCAACGGGAATTGCAGAAGACTTCTGAATACCTTTAAGGAAGGAAGTGAAGTTGTCATACTTGCTATGGCCAAACTCATCGCATAAATTACACAGGCCAGCTAGCATTGTGTTGTAACGGAAATTGGGAGGCAACTGCGTGTAAATATAGGATCGTTTTACTCCATTTGGAAATTCAAGTAAATATTGATTTACAAGTTCTTTAACACTGTCTTTCCAGTAATGGACTGGAGTTTCTTGCCCATTCACAATAACGCTCCTACACGAGGATGGCCTTGATACATTGTCTCTCACGAAAAATTCGGAAAGTTCCCTCAGCACCTCAGGACTGACACACTGGCGAGAGAATTTAAACTTAGGAGGTGGTGTCCCACCACGTCCAAATAAAATACAATGGACTTTGGCTGCTGTCACCGTGTTTGGAGAACAACCGAACAGTTCCTGCAGCAATCTGTAAGGGTATTCCATTGCCACAATTGACAACAATCGACGCCGTTTATCTGCATATGAGGTGAGACGACCAATTGATTTCGCAGCATCAGTTTGATGTTTGAACTGGTCTGAAGTAAACTCTCCTTTCAGGCTTATGCGGGAATTGTTCACTGAATTTCCAATGAAGATCTTTGCTTTTCTGACCAGCAGCTCACTTTCTTGTTTCCGCTGCTTTCTCCTTGTTCCCTGACTCCGTGTAGGCTCTAATCAAAGCCTGTATTGTTGGATTTGATGTGGCATCAGAAAGCTCAGAAGAAAGCCCAAAAGGTAGTACTCCACTTCTTGCTTTTGACTGTCTCGTTAATGAAATCGGGGACATCCTTTTTTTCATAACAAACAAATTTCAAGGCTGCATTGTTCATAGTGTCAATAACTTCATACCTCCATTCAAGTTTTCTTCTCTCGCAGAGCTCTTTGTAGGGGACAGATGAAACCAAAGGACGCTGTGTTCCCTTTTCGCACATACCTGTAGGCTGGCATGTTTTTACACTCATATCATCATGGGAGCAACTAAGGTCTGTAACATCCTCAGTGTCTATTGAAGTGGCCTCTGGGATACACACAAGTTTCTCAGAGTTCTCTCCAACAAAGGCACTTGCACCATTCAAGAGGGGTTGACTACATTCTAAATGTTCGACTGGAGAGTCATCAACATCGGCCACTGTCTCATTGTCACATGGTGTCACACAAGGTTCCTTTGGGAAAGAATAAAATAGAATAAAAATAAGTTTCCATGATGTTGCGTAATAGCAAACAATTTGCACTTTGAAGGCATACAACTTAATATTTCTAAATTGTCTGGGATGGCTCGACGTGTTTCTGCATTTTTTAGTCAGCTTCATGACATGGAGTGAATTTATTAATGAAGGCAATCAAAAGTGAGCGTGAGACAAAAATTTTTTGGGGGATCACTTCCTTGGGAGCCTGGAAACTAAGCTTAGAATAGTAAAGAAGCCTTCCCATTTAGTTTCCAATCCTTTCTGAGCAGTTGTATGCAATGTTCGGTCAAGTTTAGCTGGCAGCCGAGGTTTTATTGCAGTAAAGCTGGAAACGTTTACATGTAATACCGAAAGGTAAGTCGCAGTCAGTGTTTTAATATTTGAAGTTGTAAATTTTCTCTTTTTGCTTGATAAATGTACAATGTGCCTTGTCCAACCCCTTTTAAGCATGAAATAAGTTTAAAATTATAATAATAAACTTCTAAGTTCTACGAAATTAAACTTTAGTTGTTTTTTCTGCTATTGTATAACCTTGATCCTGATAAACTAAGACAGGCTGTTTTCCATCACTGTTGAAAAATTATCGGCATCTGTATAGATTGGAGTTCAAATTTAATTAGAGGTGATATACACGACCCCACAAGCTTTAAGAGCTTGAAAAACCATAACAACAACATCATTAACTTTATTATATTAAACAGATATAATTACATCATATTATTATCCCCCCCCCAAAAAAAGAAGTATCGTGTTAAAATAAAGATTATGTATTCATGTATGTATGTATGTATATGTTGTGGTTCAATTTCATCCTTGGTTTAAATTTTGTCCCTTTGTTTTAAAACTCATTATCATACATTACCATACCTCAAAACAAAGGGGAATAAAATTGAACTACAGCATATATAACCCTAACCCTAACCCTAACCCTAGGAAATGCAACTACCTATAATATTTGTGTTATAAAGCAAACACAATTTATGCTGTTAAATGTTTGTTTTTTGTGCAGAAACCTAAGCGAATGGTGATAACAATTTAATAAAATCTCAGAAATGTTAGAAATAAATGTGTTTTTGGTGATGTCAGAATCTCAAAAATGTCAAAACTTTCCAGTAGTGGCACGGGGGGGAGGAGCTTGCTAACACGACCAATCCAAAACATGCTCCCTGGTCCCTGATATCGTCTAACCTCAAAACAGATCTGACATCAGTAATCTAACATGACATTAGTGATTTTTCACTCTTGTGAATAACGGTTGTTGCCGAGTTACAATGAACCTATATGGAGTCTTTCATCTGCGTATATGGATATTATTGTAATAGCCCATTTGCATGATGACGTCACGCACGCTGTGCATTATGGTTGTAGTAGTAAAGAGATTTTTAACAATGGCGTCTGGAAGTAGCGAAGCTGAAGGATTTACTTGCTGTGTTCCGGGCTGCTACAACAATCATTTTATAGTTTCCCAGGTGACCAAAATTTAAGAAGGCAATGGCTTCATAACATTTCCAGGAAAGATTTTCGTCCAACTACGGGTCATCGTGTGTGCAGTGCTCACTTCGAAGGGGGCTCCAAAACCTACCAAAACAACGTGCCAACTGTATTTCCTCTACAAAAGCCTCACCCTAAAGTGATAAAAACATGAAGAAGACTACTTGTTCGCCACAAAGAAGAGGAAATACAAGAAGAGACTGAGGAAAATGAGCCGACTTGTCCAGAGGAGAATCAAATAGATAGTACCAATCATTGTAACAATGAACCCTCTCTTGAAGACCAGATTATTGAACTCAGACAACACATTGCAGCACTTGAATCGTGGAATTCTAAATTAGAATGCGAATTAAGATTTGGATTGGAAAAATTAAAGTCTTCGGAAGACGATATGCAGTATTATACTGGAATGGAAGACCATGCACAGTTTAAGGCTCTCTATGATTTTCTTGATGGAGGTGTGAACGCCTGTTCAAGACTGAACTACTGGGGTTCAAACAACTCGAACCTTCAACTAGACAGCTTGGAAAAGCGAGGTAAAAAGCACTCTTCTTCCGATTCATGAACTTTTTTTGACCATGGCACGAATAAGAGTAAATATACGAGAAAAGGTTCTTTCTGACACTGGTATAAAATCAGTGTCAGTGAGGTGTCTAGGATATTTATCACCTGGGTCAATTTCATGTTCACCCGATTTATGCAGCTACCAATCTGGGCATCAAAGAAAACAGTAGAGAAAACAATGCCTGACTGTTTGAAATTTGACTATCCTTTTACACGTGTAATCTTAGACTGTGCTGAGATTTTCATTGAGAAGCCTTCATGCCTTAGAGCACAGTCAGCAACTTATTCATGCTATAAATCTCACAACACCGCAAAAGGGCTGGTAGGAATTTCTCCACGAGGTGCAGTGACTTTTGTTTCTGATTTATTTGGAGGCCATGCAAGTGACAGGCAGATTGTTGTGTGATCTGGGATACTAGATTTACTTGAACCAGGAGACTCAGTAATGGCTGACAGGGGATTTGAGATTCAAGATTTGTTGGTTTCGAAAAAATCTTCGTTTAAATATCCCCCCATTCATGAGATGCAAGGATCAGTTGGTTCCAGACGAGGAAGATGAAACAAGAGAAGTCGCTTCAGTGCGCATTGATGTAGAGAGGGCAATTGAAAGAATTAAAAACTTCAATATTTTGAGAAAAGTCATTCCCAATACTATGGCTGAAGATATAAATAAAATATGGAAAGTATGTGCCATTTTAACTAATTTTAAAAGTCCCCTAGTTCTTTAGCCATGTTGTTACATTAAGATAAGAACAGAAACAAAGCAAGACACAATAGAATATATTACATGGGTGTGTATATATTCTCTGAATACTAACACATGTAGTTGTTTAAGTCATTGCTCAAGTTACAAGTTACTATACTCTCTAGCAATCTGATCTACTTAGCTAAAGAATTTCAAGTCCAGTTGTTTGTACTAATATACTTCCTGTAAGTTAGGATGTTCATCTTACTTCTTCTAACAATACACTGTGGAATGAAGTGGTTTTCCTCGTTTGATTCTCCTGGTGATAATGTCAGGTACTACAGCATGTAAACAAAAATCTAATAAGTTACGTTTAAGATCATTCCAATAAATTGGGTCCAAGTAAATTCTTTCAATATGCAAATCCTCCATATTTCTGTCAGTAGTAACAATAGATTGCCAAATCAGACCATTGCCTTCCTGAAATACCCATACCTCCTTGTATTTGGGCGTAGTAATGATGACGAGTTTTGAGCTTGAGTCCATTACTGGTTATTTGAAGACATGAGTCTTTTGCATGCTTAGCAATGAAATGTAATAAATTGTCCTCAATTTTCTGTTCTGTACATAATCTGCTGGGAAATTGTTTATATTTCATTTCAAGATTTCCAACTGGACTGTGCTTTGCTGTCGGGTCATAAACTTCACCATCAATGCTAGCTGCAAGCAAAGGGTTTTTTCTGTCAATGATCAATCCTTTTTCAGATACCTTTATTCCAGTGTGGCCATTTACAGATTGCTTGGCTATATACTTCTCTTTGATTATGGGCTCAAGCCTTAAACCTTCTTGACATTGATGGGGTGTTTTACCTTTTGGATTGTACTGAAAAATATCATGTATCAAGCGATCTGGTGCAGTGGTGGATCTTCTGTTCTTAATTTCCCCAAACTTGGATACTGTTACTCGTGCACATCTGTATTTGAACCACTGTGTATTTTCAGACTGACCCCTTGTTTGTATTTCTGTCTCAGATATTTCAGTCTCGGTTATACTAAATTTTCCAACAAAGTCAGGGCACACCTTTCTGAAATTTTCTTCATTCAAATCATAATCATCAGAATAAGATTCGGAAAAATTCCACTCAGAAATGATATGTTTTTCAATGTAAGAAAAACTGGTGTTTATACACGGGTTCTCGGGCGGAAGGGATTGTACACATTCTTGGTTGTCATCTTCAGTAACAGATCGCTGACTGTCAGGAGCATCAACTTGGACAGCTTCACAATGAGACAAGCAAAATCGATTGTCAAAATTTGTATCGAGTGGCTCAATAACGCTTTCCATTTTAATGATTTTGCAAGGAAGATCAATGCCATTATCTGCATCCCCAATTTCATTTTGACGTTTTCTGTTTGAATGACAACAATAGTCATGATCCTTCAGTATGTTGTCTCGATTTTCCCTTAGTGTTATGTCTTGAGTGACAATGGGCTTGCATTCATTCCCCTCTAACAAATGAATAAGCATTGGTCGGTTCTTTGTTTTTGCTGCTTTCAAGTCCTCAGAAAACTGTTTTATTTGATGTTCATTGATTTTTCTGGCAAAAGAGGGTGCAGCGTCGTACATTTGCTTTTCCACTTTTCTCTGAGTCCTTACCTCGTTTTTCTTCCTCTTTTTATCGGCCTCATAATTATGCTTAATCACTAATAACTCATCCAATAGAACTAGTTTGTCCTTTGAAGAATTAGAGCGGGGTATGTGCCACTGTTGTGGTCTTTCAGTGCATGTAAGGTCTGGTGGTATTTCATCCACTTCACTTTCAGTAAAATCGAGTATTTTGTACAGCAATGCGCCAATATGCTTACATCGACCATTAGCTCCTGCTTTACAGTTGCATGCACCAGACTTCACCTGAGCCGTTTGCTTACTTCTCTGCTATGTCACTGCGTTCCGCCGCAGAGAAAACGTTTAAGTTCTAATCAGCAGAAAGGCAACAACACGTTGAAATAGGAAGGACACGACCGCCGCATTCTTACTATCCGTAAAGACCTTGACCACTTTGCCTGTAAGGGAAGCGCGAAACGATTTCAGGCCGTAAAGAATGGCTAACAATTCCCTGTCGTTATTATCTAAACCGGACTCCAAAGAGAAAAACGCTTGAAAGAAAAGATCGAACTCCTCGCTATCAACGCGAAAGGCACACCCACCGCAGGCGAAACTGCTGGCGTCGGAATACACGAGAGTCACGGGAAGCGAATATCTGGTGAGAGACCTCCCATTGAGTCTGGCACAGTTAGAGAGCCAGAAATCAATTTCCTGAAGGCATTCAGAGAAAAACTGATAGGACCTAAAATCCAAAGGACAATCCCACCCGCTATGAAGTTTGACGAATGATTGGAGGAATCGGGACATAGGGAGTGTAATGTTGCCATAACCAGGGGTGAGGGAAATAATTTGCCCTGTAACAGAGGCAACCACGCGTGGGATAACGGAGCGAGACCCAGATTTTAGTGATAGGAGTGCCATAAGCAACTTGACAATGCGGCGGTGAGGAATAATTATGCGGCCACACGAAAGATCCCAGACAATGCCCAACCATTCCAAAACCTGGGTAGGAACCCAAATAGATTTCTCCTCATTGGCGACCACGACTGCGTTGGCCAAATCGGATCTAACAGCCGAAGCAGTACTCTGAGCTACCGAAAAAGCATGGAGGTATCCGGCGCTGTCGTCTAAATACAAGACCAAGGGTATGCCCCAGGAGCGCCAATGCCTTTGTGAACACGTAAGGCGCTGACGAGAGACGAAACGGGAGCACGGCGAAAACAAAAAACCTGGGCTCTACAAAGCTACCAAGGGGCCACTGAAAGCCTAAAAATGTTTGAGATTCCTCATGAATGCTTACATGGTGATACCCAGACTTCATATCGAATTTAAACATATAACCTGGCGAGTGTACATAATTAAGAAAAGTCCTACTATCCTCCATTTTAAACTTAACTTTAGGAATAAACTTATTGACGTGACGGAGGTCGAGAATAAGGCGGCGCTTTCCCACAGAGTTAACGGATACCGTTAAAGGATTGAGAACTGTGGGAGGCGTAAAGACTTCGATAACGGAACCCGCAAGAAGCAGATCAGAAATAGCACTGTCAAAAAAACTGGCGTGATCTAAGGCAGACCTATTGTTACAGAAAAAAGCGCTAGGAGGCCATGAAATAAAAGGAATGCGATAACCGAAACGGATGATGTAAAGAACCCAAGGGGAGGAACCGATACTAACCCAAAAATCAACCTGCTCCTGAGCCTATCCTTATAAACTATGGGCGCTGACCCCTGCTTATACTCAAAACCACGAGAGGACAAACATTGTTCGTATTCAGAGTCGAAACAGTACTTATCTTGTGAGAGTAAGTCAGCAAACTCCTCCTGCACACGGGCGTTGACATCACCCGCCTTCGAGCCAGAATGCGAAGCTGAATAGTGAACGCCTAGAGCGCCGGAAGCCTCCTGCTGTAAAGACGCCATAAAAGAATTTTCAGGGACGGTTAACGGCGCTTGTGGAACTAGCTGGCAGCTGGCTGGATGAACAGCTGACGTGAAACCTTGCGAGACGGACCGGGCACTCCTTCCACCAGTGGCCTGAAGAACCGCAGCATCGACAAGGCCCTCGGGTGAATTCACGGTTAGTGGTGAAATTGTGTTGGTTTGTCGAAGAGGAAGCGAACGGCTGTGAAGATTGCCAAGAACGCTGGCTCCCGTTGAACTGCCTTGAGTAAGGGGAGAAGAAAGGTTGAGCTTGACGATTTCGGACCGCAAATCCCTCAACATTACGCTTCTTTCTTTGTCGAGCTTGATAAAGACGCCATAAAAGAATTTTCAGGGACGGTTAACGGCGCTTGTGGAACTAGCTGGCAGCTGGCTGGATGAACAGCCGACGTGAAACCTTGCGAGACAGACCGGGCACTCCTTCCACCAGTGGCCTGAAGAACCGCAGTATCGACAAGGCCCTCGGGTGAATTCACGGTTAGTGGTGAAATTGTGTTGGTTTGTCGAAGAGGAAGCGAACGGCTGTGAAGATTGCCAAGAACGCTGGCTCCCGTTGAACTGCCTTGAGTAAGGGGAGAAGAAAGGTTGAGCTTGACGATTTCGGACCGCAAATCCCTCAACATTGCGCTTCTTTCTTTGTCGAGCTTGATCCCTCAGAGCCTGCCTCTCTGCAGCGCGAATTTTCTTGTCGTCGTCCTCACTCAACGAGACGGGATTAGATTCGTAGTGTTTAACGGTCAACCAACCGGCCTCGGACGAATCCGCGATCCATATCTTGCGGTTACGTTCCTGTAATAGTTCTACGGTTTCGTGAAGAATTGAAAGTGCCTCAGACTCGGGAGGTAGATCGGCCAAACGATCCTTAAGTGAAACAAGCTTGGCTAACACTTGACCGTTAAATTTGAAATTACGTTCGTTGCCGGTGTGATTAAACTTGATCTCCGACTGTTCCTTCAAAGGATTAGAAGCAGAAAGGGCAGCTGAGGCAACCTCTTGCGATTTCTGTACCTCGGACGAAATAACTGATTTGTGAAGGGCGAGCTGACTAACAACAAAATCTTTGAAACTAGCAAGATCTTGCTTTGTAACAGGCTCGTCTCCCATACTAGAAAATTATGCTCGGCAAGGTGCGAGCGGTAAAACTGGCTGTGTCAAGTGACTAACGCGAGAGGCGACAAGGCTTAAATACCGAGATGTGACGTAAATTCCCTAGAGGATCAAACTGCGGCCATAAATGCAAATTCCGAACATAAACACATTTAGTGATACTCTTGTCCTGTATAGTTTGTTTCTGGTCATGGAGGCCTTTACGCGGCTTTCAAAAAAAAACAGAAATGTTCATCTGTTGTGTGGTTGAACTTTACCTTTTGCACATGTCTGGCTTTATATAGAGCGTAACCTTCACGCTTGCTTTTGAAAGCACCTCGGCGAACTTTCTTCGAGTTACTTTCCATTTCTCCGGCTAAATGAGCAAACAATTAACAGTGCTGAAACGGAGGCATTTGTTCCAAGGATAATGTCCAACCATCGCTGGGCCATGTAACTCTCTTGGGAAGATTATCGCTGGTTTGATGTTATCGCAGCTCGCGCTCAAGTCGAAGTCTACGAAGATGTATCCCTACATCTGGATCGACGATTTTCTTGTCCTGGCCAGATACTTGATAATCCTTTATTCTATTAAAGTCAAAGACACAGCTGCGCCCTTAGAAAATCGCTTTAATTCTTAAAAGACTGACAGAAAAATACTGACAGAACTACAAACCTTGTAAGTAATTCTCTTCGAGTCCCACCCACACTAGCACCTCGACACTTAAACCAACGTTTAAGTTGTTCATTATGAAAGATTTGAGGATCCATATTTTTGAACGATGCTCCTGGGACATCGTCCTCAGTCAAAACAATTTTCTATAAATTTTCGGACTTTGAGTGGCCTTGAATGTCCTTGTTTTCATAACTTTTCGCATCAGTTGCCGCCATTTTTTTTAAACTTTCGCGGTCTTTACCACTACAACCATAATGCACAGCGCGCGTGACGTCATCATGCAAATGGGCTATTGTTTCAATAATCAAAGGGAATTGCAAGGGAAAATAGTTATACACATGACCGTATTAATGCTAAGCCATTTCTATGTTTATTGCCTCTTTCAACACAGTGGATTCAGAACTTCATTCAGAGATTGCTCTATGTTTTAGGACCAGCATTAGGTAAGTTTTTCTTGATGTTATGGGCAAGATTTCTCTTTCTTTTTTGACTGTTGAATGTTTTTCTAACTTTCATGTTGGCATCTTTGTTACTATTTGATAACATGGGACGACAACCACTTGGTTGTGCACTTGTAGATTTTATACCATATTTCCTTCTGGAAATAGCTGTTGGTTGTACGTTAATTCTGGAGTTGTTATGCAAGACTGGCAAATAATTTCCACCCCTATCTTTTCCAAACTGTGCATAGGCAGTAGCAAGTGAAGTAACTGGTGCTTGTCCCCTACACTTTGAACTGATTCTGCTATACAAAGTCAGGTATTTATAATAGCAGAGCCTGAAGTTAGTATCGCTTGTTCTAAGCTTGTACTCAATATCTTGGGAGACTTGTCGGTGAAGCTTAATTATTTGGTCAACTGATAACTCAGCATCTGACAAATTGGCATCTGTTTGTGAACTGATGCAGTTTCTGTGCTAATACTTTCTTGTGAGTCAGCAGGCATTGAAGGTAATATTACTTGCTGTTCATCATGATCCTTGTCTTGGTCTTTGTAGAAGTGAGGTCTGCTTTCAATTTCTTTTTGGTGAAGGCTTACAAACTGGGTGACACTGAAATTGTTGTTATTCCCAACAGCGAGAATAGCGAGGTTGAATCTCTCCTTTGCTGTTTCAGGAACAAAGTTTATGTTGCTTATTCCAAATTTCAATGCCGCAGCTGCTTGGTAGGGGCAGGCATTTCCACTTGTTCCCTGTGGGGATGTACAGTTTTCTATTGTGTATATGATGTTGTTGTCCCCCCTGCTGGGCACATGGAATTTGCTTGGATTTTTTTCATCTATGGTTATTGTGCTTTGACTAACAGAGCTAGCTGATCTCCCAAAAGCCAAGTAAAGAAGTTTTCTTTGAAAGTACATTTCTAGGTCTTCTGTGATAAATTTAAATAACTCAATAAGGTTGTAAGCTCTCATTCTTCTTAAAACTACACATTTAAAAACAAAGATCATAGATTCTGTGTAGTTGTCTGTATTATTGCCTCGTGTTCTCAGATTTCCTCTGTAACAAAGTGCCTATTCCTTCCTTCTATCTATGGCCTTGGTTGAATATTCTTTGTATAGGGAATATTTCTGTAATAGTGTCTGATGGAAAAAGCTGCTCAATCTCTTCAAATTCTTGTTGGGTTTTGGCAAACACAAGGTCCTGCATTATGGACATCAGGTGTTATCTGTCATCCTTTAAAATGGAGTGCTTGGAGTCCAGTAGCCATCTCCATGTTGCTTGTAAAAAGTGAAAAATGCACAGCAGGAGTGTGGCCTGTTGCCAGTGGACTCTAAGAGCTTGTCTCTGGCCAGTGTCATCATCTATCATGAAAATGTCAGGTCCTTTTTGGGAACCTTTGCCACCGAAAGCATGACTTGACAGAATGAATTTGAATTTTTCAAGACAGCTGTGATTGGCTTGATGTTACCCAGACTCAAAGAGATAATGCTCCACACGGATGATGAGTGCACATAAAGAAGACAGGGTTGTTGTACCAATCAAGGCTCCCTGATGATTCCATAAAGGCCATCTCGCCAGCTTGCCTAGTTTCATGTACACGTGATATCAAAGGGGTGCATATGGATAAGATGAGATCTTGTTTATCTGGACCATTTCTGTTAACCCTTTGCAAGTAACACTTGCCTCCCTTATCTGCATTGTTCCTGTTGTAGTCATTAACAATTTCTTCCAGGCGATCAAACATTGCAGATCCATTGGATGGACCCTTCTTTTCAACCAGCCATTTGTCATGTAAATTGTTAACGTCTCTCAGAGAAGGGCACATTCTCCGATCAGCCAGTAGCATGAGAGTTACTGGATCCTTCATCAACAGTGTTTCATGATGATGAATTCTTCTGAGGCACTCATAACCTCTTCAAAATAAGCAAAAAGTGTTTCTTCGGTCGCTGGCAAAATAGGGCAAAATTAAGTTAAATGATAGCAATCCACACTGTGATTATGGTTCCACCAAAGCTCTATTTCACACAGAAATGGCATACCGGTACTTTTTTCCTGTTAATTCTAGTGGACATTTTGCTGTCACAATCTGTTTTTTTCCCTTGCTTTTGATAGCAAGTGTAACTTGCATCCTTCCTTGTCACTGATGTTTTGTGTGTCCTGTGCCTCTTTTCGTTTCTTTTCAGTGCAGCCTCCTTTGCTGCCACTTGCTTTTTTGTTATTTTCTTGCGTTTACACTGACAAATGTACCATCGTGCATAAATGACTTTTACCCCCTTTCGTTTGTAACCACCCTGTGCATTGTATTTAATGTTTGAAGATGTTGTAAATTGCTGCAGCCACTGGTTGACTTCTTCCTTGGTTGTGATGTTACATACAGACAACTTTACGTAGAAGTTTTCTTGAAGTGCACCTGTAAAGTTTTGTGATGGAATTTCTCTGAATTCATGGCAGCTGTATTGGTAACCAGTTGGTAATACTTTTTGAACAGACTGTGGAATCTGATGGCTTCTACTAGAATCAGCTTGATCTGTATCTTTGGCATATGTGTGGTCATCTATGTGGCTTGCTGTTGTATTACAGGGTGTAATATGGGAATTTGACTCAGGATCTTTTTGGGGTCGTTTTTTAGGACTTTCAAAGTCAGAATCCAAATCTGATGGGTAATGCGTCTTTTGTGCCTTTCCTTTCAGACTTGCGCAAGAGGAATTGGTGTCTATTACACTGTCTTTGGAGAGACCATAACATTCCACAGAATAATGATCTGGTTCTGTGGACGTGTTGCAAAGGGAGCCACCATTGGCGGTTTCAGGGGCACCCAACGGCAATTTTCGGGAAAATATCTGTTCGGAAGACGATTTGAGATCTAGAATTTTCGGAGCATTTGTTGTAAAATTTCTTGCTTGCCTGCCTCTCCTAGGATTTTCGAACATCTACAAAATGGTATAATTAATCATTTTTAACGGATTTTGACCCTAAAAAAGGCCACCTAGAATTTTCGGGAGCCTTTTCCTGGCTGAAATTTTCTAGAAGGTAAGTTTTTATCCCTATAATTTTCGGATCACTAGATTTTCAGCTAGGAAATCCGAACAGATGAAAAGTTTTTAGGGGATAAAAATATGCCGATATCTACCGTCTGAATACTAAAATACGTTCAACAATGCTATGTTAAGTGGTTTTGAACTATATCCTCGTTGGGTGCCCCTGCGATATCCAAGATCAAGGAATATCCGAAGTCATTAATTTGCTTCTGTGAAAAGTCCAGTGGCCGTCCCTCTGCAATATGCTGTGCCCATTTCACAACAAAGACACCACAGTCAACTGAATTGGATTGTTGTTAAATTTCAGTAGATGGAATTACATAATACTGCCATTCTTTCCAATCGATTACTTTGCTTTGGCTGACAAACACACGCTCTAAAAAATTAGTGAACCTTGTGAACGCAGTTAAGGCACCAACACCATTATACAAAGAGTCAAGGTAAACCATTCTCTTCTGTTTCATCTCACTGACAACAAGGAACCAGTGATTCCCATGTAGTGCAGGGCACAGAATTATGTCTGATGTTGGAAGATTCTGATACAGTAAGTCATATTTACGCTTCAAAAAGGTATTCATTGAGGAATGTGTCATGTTGTTGTAGACATCAGAGTTGACAGTAGAAACATTGTCTTTACTGGTTTGAGACTGATTTTCTATCAGCAAAAAAAGATAGTCCATTACAAAATTGGAAAGTTTTCCTTCACTGATCTTGTGTAAGGAGCTGGAAGGAGCTTTTCAACATCAGTTGGCTCCCATGCTTTAACTCTACGATGCCCTACAATTTCAACCCCAGCCATGGCAATCCCTTCTGCTTTTCTGATAGATACTGTGTCCAAAGTGGAATATTTCCAGGATACACTTCCAGTAGCAGTCTTGAAAATTCCAGGTTTTCCAGCTTTTGATGTGTAGTAACCAGGGGGGATGGAAGACTTGATAGGAAACATCTTTCCTTTTTGGGTCTTAAGGGGCCCTTGGGGTTGACAATTTTTTTAACCTTTAAATTGCTCGACATTGCAGAAAGGTGTCTAACCTCTTGCACGTCTTCAACGCCATCTTTCTCATAGAAAAGGATGTAGGCTTCTTGGCTTCTGGCTACCGGAGCTGAAGACTGGCGGATAGTGGCATGACTTGAATAATACCACTCGTCTCCTCTTTTTAAGTAACAAATGTAATGACCAGAGGAAGTCTTGGTGCCTTCATGGACAATGACAGCTTTCAGTTGATATGAGACATCAGTTGCCGTGGTTCCCTTTGTCTGAAGAGTTATGGTGTTCTGGAAAAAAAAAACTTCCCCCTGGTAATCTATCAAGTTGCCAAGCTTTTTACCATCGTTTTGAAATCTTACAATCTGAATGCACAATAACAAAGGGGATTGGCATGTGAGCAACCTCTTCCATGCATCGGTACTTTTTGAGCAACTGATGGGATAAAAATGGAACAGAAATAATTCAACATTTACCCGAGGACAAACATTATTACCATGTAGTGTGTACCTAAGGCCAGGTTGAATTACTTTTGCATTTTTGAATAAATCCTTTTTTTAATAAACATAAAAATTTGCTTGTTTATGTTTTTTTGCTTGTGTATGTTGGTTTTTGTTTGAGTTCAACATTATTCCACTTTTGTTACCTGCTACAATAATACGGTGATTCCAGTTCCACTGGGTGGGAATAATCCTTCAAGAAGCTCTGTACAGTACAACCCTTTCAATTTAATAAAGAAACAACAAAAAAATAAGGACAGGAAAAAGAGGGAATAATAGCCGCCGGTAATTAGACATATAATTTTGGCCCATTGAATCATCTTACCTGCAAAATGTATCTCGCCAGAATTAATAATATATCTACTAGAAATACGTGTATCACAGAACCTCTTGATGCTCGGGGGGAGGGGAAGGCTGATAAAATGTCAGGGATGGAAGGGGGAAGAGAATTAGAATGCAGTGTGTAAATTGAATTGAAAAGCAGGTTAGTGACATGCCGTTGCCGAAAACGGCATGTTTTAATAGCATTGCTTTTTATCCTTAATTGTTTCACAAAATCTTTTGTCATCAAAAAGGAGACAAATACACTAAATCTAGAAAGAAGTTCTACATTACCTGTTGCTTTCTACCCACCTGGATTTCTGGTTTCGAACTGAAAGGTGACTTCTGTAGATTTTTATTCTGTGTTTGGGTGCTAACGCAAGGAACATTTACCCGGGCCTGAAATTTAATGACAAAGAAGTGCCACCAAGTATTGAAATATCACATAAATGAAGCGAAAAAATATAATGTGGGCTGGCTGGAGACCTCAAAAAAGGGATGTTTGTCTTTGCGAAATAAAAATGAGGTCATTTGAAGATTTTAATAACTTCAGTTAACAGCCATTTTAAAAAAGGTTTTTTAACTAAGAGTGTGAAGTATAGCACTGTTATTTTATCAGTATCACTTAACATCACAAATGAAACGATGAAAGTGACAGATTTCCTTGCAAATGTAAGTTGTGTCATTATGTGGAGAATATTGTCTAGTATTTAACAATGAAATAAATGAATTTTAAGAAAAATTGTACTCAGATAAGAACCCTTTTACTTGTTATTTAAAAAGGCTTTTTGTTACCTAAGAATGACTTTAGGCTATTCAAATTCAAATAAGCTAATTGTTATTCTGTGAAATACACTACCCCATAAAATGACAGGGATTTATCATGTCTTGGTTTGCTCTTTGCCTTCATGGAATCGACATGAAACTAAAATGGCGTGCTGTTTACTCTCTGCATCGACTGACAGTGTCTGAAAGAAATTTGTGGTTCATGAGTGTCTTTTTAATTTGTCTGATATACATGCGGCTGGACTTTCAGTCAATTTTTTTTGGCCAAGCAACCATTAGCACATGTACAGTGGAATCTGTACAGTGTGCAGTTTCGTTAAATTGTTTTATACATGTTAGTCTTATGTAAAAGACTCTGAGTGGTCGCTTACAAAGGTCGCTTACACGTGGTGGCTTACAAGGGCTTAACAACAAAAGAAACGTCCAGTTGGGTAATCCCAAAAGCGTTCGCAGCGCTTACAAGACCTTTTCATTACAAAGTTTAACGGTCTTACCTAGGTCTGTAGGAAATACGCGATGCATGGCTTTGCATGAGGTTTCTGTGCATTCACTCACATGTATCACCACTTCCTTGAATGTGTTCAGGTTTGTGTATAAAATACTGCTTCCTCGGCTACCGGGATGAACTCTGGCAGGTCCAAGAGGATTGCCACATACTTTGCAAACCTTGCTTTCAACTGCGAACAATAATGGCCATCCATCACTTGAAGCTTGAAACGTCAAGGCGTCTTTCATCTTGATCCGAGACATCAAATCTCTGCCAAAATGGTAAGGAAGTGTTTTGTTTGTATACAGTCTCATTGTAGCAGCTCGTAAAACACAAATTCTGTGTGACTGGAAATCTTCAGAAGGTGGACAGGAAAAATGTGTAGCTAAAGCAGACGTGGAAGGTGGATCTGCGACAGCAGGCATACCGTTGGCCAACTGAAGGGAGCAAAAAAGCGTGTGCAGATGGATGTATATACTACGTATTTTTTCTTGTTTCCCCTTTGAAACAAGTATTGCAATCTTTTCCGGTGTACTTGAAATAAAATTGAGAGCCTGGGTTGGTGCTCTTTTCATTTCTGACACGGCAAAATCCAAGCGTGTTGGATTCCTTAACAGGGCCAAATACCGCGAACAACTTATCAGTCAACTCATACACAGAATAATGCTGTGCTTGCATTGTATGCATCGCCTTGAGGGATCTGTGCTGGAGTCCACTGTGATATCCTGCACGTCCAAATGAACCAAGGGGGAGAAACTTGCCAAAGAAGGGACCGAATTCCGAGGACCGCACAACCCAAAATGCCCCAGCGTGTATCCCACCCAAAACATACAATGATCTGGGAGCTGCAAGTTTAAAGACTTCCAAATGACTAGAATGAGGTCATCTGTAATAGGCAAACGACCTAGATGATGCCCTGAGTACGTTTGATGCCGTGTATAACACGCTGCAAGCATAGACAGTTGCGAAGAGGATCGGCAAAACCTTGTTTGATATGAAGGGCTCTCATACCAAAGAGATACACTTTGATGGAAGAGTGCTGAAGAGAACCAGCCAAAAACGTAGCAAACAAGCAGAGCGTCCATTCATCTGCTGGGCAAGGAGACCCAGACGAGTGGATCCTGCCTAACTGACAGCAGAAGGACAAGAACTGGGACAGAGCTGTAGCTTATGACTTGCGGGTAGATGCTGCTAGACCCTGAGCCAAAAAGGAATAGCACTGTGCTTCTGAAGTGGGGAGATGAGGTCCTGCAACAGCTGCAGTGGAATGGGAGGTGGATGAGGACGAGCCTCTCGGGTCAAACGGTGAAAGTCCTGCCAATGAAAGCGAGAAAGGGCATCAGTTATGGAATTATTAGGCGAGTTCACACTAGGGCCCAAGTAGGTCTTAAGTACCATAAAAACTCAAGTGAACTTGAGACGGCCAATGCTCACTTTTAAAGATAAGCGTTCATACTAAATTGTGAAGTATGCTACTTGCGGGATCGCTTGTCAATCAGACTACGTGGCAAAACCCGCCAAAGCAAATAACAAGACACTCAAACTTTCACCATGCGGCCTCGGAACGTCCGAATAGCGTGCCTTATTTTGATTTTTACTCCTCTACTCTTGCGACAGCGGTCTTTCGTGCTTCAACAAATGTATTCCTTTGAATCGTCTGGTGTTGCTTATGTATATGGTAGGACTTTCACAGCAACAAAGACCACAACTGAGAAGAAGAGCTTGTGTTTGGCCTCGACCACAGAACTGGTTTCGCCTTCTAATAACTAATCTAGCACTGCATTTTCTTTGAAGGAGCATTTTCGTGTCACTC